ACGCATGCTGAGGGATGAGAAAGGAGAGTTCGTCACTCTCGCGAGCACTTTATCCACGACACCCACGACGTCGATGGGGCCTCATGGGACACGGGAGGGAGTCCTATGCATCCTATGCAGAATCAACGGGAAGACTGGACAGTGTCAAGCTCGGATTTGTGTTAATAAGATGAGGGTAACATAGTTGTCAACATGTGTACAGTCACTAATTTGGCTTCACTGCAACGTAGAAGCCCCTATTCTGATTGTCCAAGGGCCGTTGTGTGGTATATGTCAATCAGGGGAACCCGCATCACCATAGACGTCTAAAGACGCAACATGGTGGTTGTCCTTTTGGTTTCCTGCAAAACCCCAAAAAGGGTGCGCCAAAAGCACACACTCTGCGGTCCTGAGGAGATGAGACCCAACATGCCAGCATGGCGGGCCATTTCGAGTATTTGAGTCTTGACCTCATGGCATATGTCGTATTGGTGTTTCTCAAAATTAGGGATCCCAGGTGGTTGGTTTCCTTTTCCCTGGATTCCAAAACAGGCGAAGCCTATTTTGAGACACATGGGCTCGCTCTGCCAGCGCTCTTGCTGTTGAGGATCCGGAGGAATCTGTGGGGCACCAGAGAGTCAGTGAAGAGAACATGTTTTAGCTTGAACAAACACAAATGACATAAAATGGAAGCAAGGGAGATACATGTTCCAGTCCTCTCGAGCGCAGCCGTCGCAGCAAGCGTAGGAGCCTGAGAGTTTACTAAGTTAATATCTATAATTTAGCACCAGCAGCATCACCAGAAGCCAGAGCTGGAGTTTCCGGAGGAGGCCCCATCAAGCAATTGCACCCGAAATGACTTCAACAAATGTGATGATGCTGCAAATTAGCAACAGCCCTGAGCATTCGTGCTGGTGAGGCCTAGGCGAATTGCAGGGCAAGTAAGATCACATGGAGCAAGTCCATGTTTGTGCTTAGATTTGAAAAACCCGTTGTTTGGGCCCAAATATTGAGACACCTCCCTGTTTCATTACAATTGGATAAACAGAAACAGCAAGCCATTCCAATTATCTTGTTGCAAACACCTACCATGAGACGACGGTGTCTGGAAAAGGGCAACCCCTCGTGATGTCGAGGCAGACGAGTGTGAAACTACAGGAAGCTATGACACGGCCACCGCTACCCTCGAAGCAAGCGAACCTGAAAGCGGACAATGGTCTTCCAAAGTCTCCCTCTCAGGTTCAATGATTGCTTTTGGGCGGCAATTTGGAAATTCCTTGGGCCTCATTTGATTTTGGTCCACCAGCCAATGAGGGTACCGCCCACCAGAACTGTTGGGTTCTTCTTGGCGTCCTTGTGTCCTTCCGCCAGCCCGAATCGAGGACCAAACCCCCGGAGTTGATGGTGGACTTTCTAGGCGCCCGTCCGATCGGGGAAGCCAACACCGGGAGGGCGGCAAAGGTGCACCAGACACTCTTCCGTTGACAGGAAGCTCCTCTTCTCCGTGAGAAACACCCGCAAAATGGCAGGCAAATGTAAATCCCCACTTAAATGTCCCACAAATTTGAATTCATGCCCATATTGCTTTGGGTCGCGAGCCACCCTAAGAGGATGGGGCACTTGCAATGTTAGGCCCCGGATTTGCATAGGACATTTGTTTTGGCGCGCCAATGTCATGCTTCAAAACTTGGCAGAGTGGTACTTTTCATGTGTCAAACCCTTGATTAACACCTCCAAAGGCTTGGTTTCATGTTGGTTCCGTCGGAAAACGGGCTCAAAGTTGTCGGGTTCAAGTCGTGGTGAAACCACCTTGCATTGTTACGTTTGCCCTCCAGAAATCAGCACGTGGGAAATTTCGGGTTTTGCCCAAAGACGAGGTCTTGGTGCTTGCCTTGCTTGACGAATATGGGTGGGTTTCCTTGTGGTCTCGCCTTTAATCTGCCGGAAAGGAGGTTCCCTCACAAAGATACCCATATTTGGTCTCTCCCTCTCCCTCTCCCTCTCCCTCTCCCTCTCCCTCTCCCTCTCCCTCTCCCTCTCCCTCCGCTCTCCCTCTCCCTCTCCTTCCTCCTTCCTCCTTCCTCCTTCCTCCTTCCTCCTTCCTCCTTCCTCCTTCCTCCTTCCTCCTTCCTCCTTCCTCCTTCCTCCTTCCTCCTCCTCCTTCCTCCTTCCTCCTTCCTCCTTCCTCCTTCCTCCTTCCTCCTTCCTCCTTCCTCCTTCCTCCTTCCTCCTTCCTCCTTCCTCCTTCCTCCTTCCTCTTCCTCTTCCTCTTCCTCTTCCTCTTAGTAGGGTTCATTTGTCTTTCTCCATCTCTCTTCGGTGGACAGATGCGCCGTTGTTTGGGGTGCTGATGTAACTGACGTCGCGCTGGAGAAATGCCACCTTGCCAAGGAAGGTGTCCTTTCAGGAGCTTCCTTAGTTCAAGTTATAGCGCATCGATACGTTTTTTGGCAATGGAATATCCTTAGTTCATACAGAGGATGGAGAAAACCCTGCACCAGTTGGTAGGTGGTTTGTCCCAGTATCCATAGGGGTTCATCCACCCCAACTGGTGCAGGATTTGTTCACCTACCCTCAGAGCAATTTAAGCCCAACTGCGCCAGGTTCTTCGCTTGCCGGGTTGAAAACGGTTTCGCTTGCCAGCCCCGAGCTTGCATAGCCTTGCGCGGCTGCGCCCGCGCCCTTAGGTTGGTGCATTCGCAGGCGTTTATTGTCGTTGATGGCGGAAGCGCCGCAAGGCCTAACTAAATCTACACACATGTTTTTGTGGTCTAGAGGCCTTTGTCATTAGGTCCGTTGATGGCCGGCGCCTCACCGCTCCAGGCAGCGCCGTGGACGAGGCAGCTTGGCGTGCGTTGCTCTGGCTGCTTGTTCGTAGCTGGTCCACATGGAAACTGGTCATGAAGCAAACACCAGTTCTGGGGCAGATGTAGGCGGGTTGTTGATCTGAAGCCATTTTTGAAATATTGTTGCAGGTAATGAATCGGTTATGGTTCAAAGGCTGTCATGACATCATTGTGGACCTTGCCATGCAACCACCCACAAAAGAGACAGGGTGCACTTGACGCCTAACCGTGGTTTTAATTAGGGGCTTGAAGCAGGCGCGCGTTTGGTCCTTTTTGTGTGGGGTCGCGTGCCTGGCGCCTGGCCAAGGTGGCTCCGGATCAGCAATCCGCAGGCAGGTTAAGCGGGCGGGCACCATGCACAAGTTTTGGTTGATTAGAATGCCAAGATGTTGCCAGCTCCTCCTCAACTGATCACATGGTATTTCAATCATGTGTTAGCCCTGTATTCGGCCAAGCCATAAACGTTCCCAGCACCACCAGGCAGTGCATTGTTTTTTTGATGCAGCTGACCTTGTTTTTTGCATGAACACGGCTGTTGTGGAGGGCTGGTTTTATTGGCAAAGCGTGGAAAGACAAGCAGCACGGATGTTGGAGTTGTTCAACGCATTGGAGGAAACATGCTTAGCTTACCACGTGAGGCTGCTCCAGGATTCAGCCGCAGTCTTGTTTCATTTGGGCAGGGGATGCCATCTGCAATGCGGCGCAGCCGATGACCGCGTGGCTGGCTTGTGAGCTGCGACGGTCGCGCCGTTAAGCGGAAACCTTCTGCTTTGGTTTGGCTTAAATCGGCAGTCTCTGGCTGATGCTGCGACAGTGTCGTTTAGACAACTTTTGGTAAACAGAGAGTGTTTTCAGGATAAAGTCTCATGCCAGAGTTGTTTCAGCTTCATTAGGGCCATGTGCATTTTCCAGTAGAATGAAGTCCTCAGTTGGAAACCTTGCGTATGCACTTGCTGGTGCAGTTTGGGTAGGGTTTTGCGGATTTGTGTTGGGTTTAGACTTTGGTTTGGTGTGGCGTGTCCTGATTTGAGGTACCCTTTTTGGGGTGGATTCCAAAGGAAGCTCAAGGGAAGCCACCCATTTTTGCGTATTTAGAGGCAACCCACCTGGAATTCAAGTGAGCAGCTTGTTGACGGGTGGATTCTGGGCTGAGCTTCAGAGGCCCACTTGACGGTAGTCTTCCGTTCCTTTCAGCACCATCTATATAGAGAGCGGAAGCTGTAGCTACTCTCGCAAGCAACAGCACTGGCCACAGGGTTAGCCGGGGGTTAACCTTTTGGTCTTCCGTTTTTTTTTTTTTTTTTTTTCAATAAAGGTGGTGAAGACAAAGGGTTCCATTTCGCTAACCCTTGCCAGGAGCCTGGTTGGAGCCCTCGGACGTGGGACATCTCCCTGGGGGACAGGCGCGGAGCCCGTCGCTCAGCGTGTCCATGTGGGTTTTTGTCTCGAAAGGCCCCAGGACATGGGGGTTGCCATAGAAGCGGGTTGGGTGTAAAGTAGGGGGAGACTGCCAAAATGGGTGGTAACCATGCAGTTTCCCTCAGGCAATCCCTGAAAAAGAGGGTTCGAGCCTCAAAAAAGACAATGTCCCAAGCCATCAAAATCGAAACTGATTCGGGTAAGTGAAGGCAAGCGACAGTCCCCTTGCATAAATAGGTGTTATTTCCAGCCTTTGGATTCTTTACATGGATTTGGGTAGACCTTTGTACCAGCTTTTGATGACTTGGATGGTGGGGTTTTGCGTTTTGTTTTGCGTTTTGCGTTTTGCGTTTGGTCTTGTCTCTGGAAAGGTGTGGCTTTTCTGAATTGAAGCTTTTTCGGGGACAGGGGAGATTTAGCAGGTGAATAGCACACAGGCGGCCGCTGGGAGGCCTGACACGCTTCGCAGGTGCGTGCCATACGTGCTGGAAATGTTAGGTTGGTTTAATGGGCAATAAAGCTAGCCGCTTGTTTTTCAGTCTATTTCAACACCTGTTGAACCATCCCACATCCTGCGCTTTATCCCAGTCCAAAAGAGGGGTCGGGCAATTGAGTTTGACAGCCACCCACATGCGCGAACAAAAGAGAACCGAAGGAAGGGCATTCTTGCCCTGCCGCCGGCTGGTTTCCGCGCAGGGCGGGCAACGGTCGACGGCATAGTGCGGCTCAAGCCACACTCTCCCCCGGCCAATTAACATGGAGCTCCCCCCCACCCCCCTCCCCCCCCACAAACAAAGAAAGAAAAAGGCTCCCCCCAAAAAATATCTCAAACTCTGTTTTCTGGGTTCCATGTAATCTGCAGAAGGGTGACCATGAATTCAGCACAGCAATAGCTTTGGCTCAGCTGATTCCAGCATCCCAATACGTATCTCTTTCACCTAAGGCCTCGGACTCGCCAGAATCCGGTGGATTTTGACAGGTAAGCAAGCATTAGGGGCCCGTTTCTTGAATACACAAGCAAACCCATTCAGTCTAAGTTCAGACAGCGTTGAAGTTTCTCCAACTTTGCTGGTCCATGGGCTTGCTTAACATTTGCCCACAGAAGGGGCTCCCCCCTTCGGGGAACCGGCCCGGCACTTGCAGGATCGCCTGTGAGTCTCGGAACCGCGTGAAGGACAAGAAGTATCGCACCATCCGCTACGACAGCTGCTTGACAGACGAGGGTGGGCGCTGACATGGGTGTCTTGACTTTGAGACCACCCAATTTGGGATGGTTTGAAGGACAACTGAGGGAAAGCCACTCATGTGCGGGGTTCCCTACTTGAGACATATACTCAAACACATGTCCCCTTC